CACTGATATGCTTTCATTAGCATAACAAAGAAGACCGTATTCTCAAATATGATTATATCCACAGGTATAGGTGTTAGGATTCTAAGACCCTTGTTTCAGTCCGAGCTCTCCCCTTACTAGCTATAGGAGCTTTGTCAAGTAATCTGAAAAAGTCAACCAGTTTGTTTATACCAGTTGACTTCCCAATCTTTTCTTTTTCTTTTCTTTCTTTATTTTTTCCTTTTTTTTCACCAGCTTTCCTGTCCCCTCCTGCCTTCTAGTCCTTGTCCCTGGACTGTTGTGCCCCATTAGTCTCGTTTTGTTTTATGGGCCTGTCTAATCTTTGGCTGAACGGTGAACTTTGGGAGTGACTTCATTACTGAGCTAAAAGGGTGTCCGGGGGCCACTCTCAGGGTTTCTCCAGTGTCTGTCAGGCCAGTAAGTCTGGTCTTTTTTTGTGAGCTAGAATTTTGTTTTACATTTTTCTCCAGCTCTGTCTGGGACCCTCTGTTGTGATCCCTGTCAGAGCAGTCAGTGGTGGTAGCCGGGCACCATCTAGTTGTACTGGACTCAGTCTGTTGGAGGCCGTGGTAGTCGTGGTCCATTACCAACCTTTTCTTTTTCAAATCCTTCTTTGTAATATAGTTCATACGGTATTATATCCTGATGAAGAGTGGGATGAAGAGACTACGAGACTCATGAAAACATAAGAGAGACTTGTCTTTTAGAGGTTAATCACACTGTCACCTCATCTTTGGGATAACTTAATGATAAATAGATGTTTCTCAAGTAGGATGTTAATTTGTTTTGTTTAGTTTTTTAGTAGAACTCTTGATTAGGATAGCAGAGGCCTTTGAACAGTTGTATGAAAAAGTAAATTTTACTGAAGTTTACTTGTAGTGAACAAATATGAAAAGAGAAGAACATGTTAAGGAATTACAATGCTGGGCTATTATCGAGGGATTGGAACATAAAGCTGATTTCAGATCAAAGGTTCTGCTTTGGAATTTGTTTGGCTTATTTTATGACCTTGACAAAGTAATTTCATTTATTTATGGCTCATATTTCAACTTCTACAGCAGTGTACTTTTGGGAGATACTGTTATTTAACAGGCAGTCTGCTTTGAAATGCAATAAAATTTAAGTAAGGATTCTCATTAACTCAAAAGTTGAGATGCCAAATATGGCTTCTCCCAAGGTCTTAGCTTACAGTGGGGTGTGTTTTTCCATCATTAGTGACTTGGGTCAGAATCAGTTGTTACTCCTAAAGTTGGAGATAATATAAAGATACTTTGTAAAGTTGTCTTTGACTTTATATCTATTTTGAAAATAATTGTAATCCACTGAATCATTTTCTTATAGTTACTATTCATCTTTAACTCTGTAGTTTTCCTAGTTTAAAAAGTAAGGTGGGTGATAGAATACATGAAAAGAACTTAATTATCTAGTCCAATCCCCTTCTGTTACGATGCTGTTTGTGATGAAATATTTATGAGATTTTGGTTCATTTGAGTTTACGTTTTCATGTTACCCAACTCAAACTTGGGTCTTAGGTTCTGAGACAGTGGCAGCCACCTTTGTACACATTTGCTTATTCATGAATATTAGTTGCACAGTGGGTCAGGCACTGTGCCACATGCAGAAGGATACATAGGTGAATAAGATTGTAGACTAGATGGAATTCATATTAGTAAGCAAGGTAGTAGAATCCATTGTGTTAAGCCTTATAAGGATGACACGAATGAGAGAGTAATCTCATCCTTTGGAGGTCATGGGGAGAGAACATCAAGGGAATCTTCACGAGCTTTTCAAGCAGAAAACCTTTGAGTGCTGTCTGAAAGGATGAGTTGGAATATGAGAGGCAGAAATCCCTGGGGAGAGGGGAATGTGGTGGGAGGACAGTCAAAGCACAAGGAAAGGCATGTGCAAAGAGGCAGGCACGAAAGAGCAGAGCACACATGGGATTGCAAGGTGCTTCCAGTTTGGCTGGAGTGGGGAGAACACAGTGTGGAGACGAAGAAAAGAGACTAGAGAAGGTGACCAGACACATTGTGTAGTGCCGTATACACATGGCAAAGGAGAGTTTGGTTTTTGTTACCCATAGGTGATAGGGAGCTGCCAGTGGGGTTCAGACTGAGGATTAACATGATGATATTTGCGTTTTAGAAATATTTCTCTGACAGCAGTGTAGAGAATGGATTACACTGGGGTGACCCAAGGAAACCACTTAGGTTATTGCTGTCATAAGCAAGTCATAAGGGGGCGATGTTGGAGGAGAGGAAAGGATCAGTTAGCTTTAAAGAAATACTCAGCAAAACAGATGGACAGGACTTGATGACTGAGCTGTGATGATGGAAGCTAGCAGTGAGGACAAGAAAGAAGAGTCCAGATTTCTGGCCTTGATGAGTGAATATCTACAGTATCTACCATGCAGGTACTTGATGGCTTCGTTAAAGAGTTACTGAAGATCATCGAATGCTTTATTCTTTGTGAAGCTTTTCCTGAATTATATATACACTTTGGCCTGATTATAATCTTTTTCTCCTTCAAGATGTCAGCCTGTTTCATAGTTGTCCTTATATATAGTTATTTATATATTTGGTTTGCTCTCCTTATTTACTTCTTGAAAGCTGGGGCTATTTCTTATTTATCTTTCATTTTCTCTTCTAACACCCACTTCTATGTCCCATCTCAGACCCCCACCGAATCAGAATTTCAAAGAGAGTTACCTGGGAATCTGAAAGTTAAGCTCTCCTTGGTGTTTATAATGGTCAGTAATGTTTTCAAACTTAGCTGTAAAATAATGAATCTGCTGGAACTGTATCTGTTTTCTTCTACTAATCTTGTGTTTGATCCCATTCACCCCCATGACTTCAACTACCGTTTATGAGCCAATGGTTCTCAATATGGCAAAAAAAAAAAAAAAACTTCTCTGCATTTACTGTATCTCACTGATTTATGAGAATGAAGATGATTGCAATAATAAGATCTATATTTTAACACGCTATAAGATCTTGAGGAATTGACTCCCAGTTTATTCCCTTGAATAACACTAAGTGAATAAAAGAGTTTTAATGTATGTAAAGAGTATAAGCAGATATACTTTTAAAAAATAATTAAAATGTAATTTTCAGAAGGGCTTCATTCACACTTAGCTTGTTATAGTTAAACTGCATCTATTTTTATACCTTGGTTTTGACACTGAAATTCTGGAAGCAGGTTAAAAATTTTTTTTTTTTTTTCATTTAAATAAAGAACTAAAATAGTCTTTGACCCAGCAAGTTGATGCTCAGGTAACCAACCCAGCTAGGATCATCTGTGATTTCAATTTAGAAAGAAGACTACTTTAGAGAGAAGTCACTGCTATTATTTTTTCCTGTGTCATTTCATTAATGACTGACTACTGGACTGGCATGGTCACTTTTTATGCTTATTGTGACATTGTCCCAACTGTGCCCTGGACAGCACAGAACAACTGTGCCCTGGGGTTGCCAACACCTGGTGTTGCCAACACTGGCAGAGAGGCCTCTCTATAACCAGATCTGACACTTGGTTTCATAGAAATGTCAGAGCCTTTTCCTTTTAATGGCAGTAGTCATACTTATATGTAAGGTGTGATACCTAAAATGTTATAATTGCTTATTCCTTATTCACTCTTATTTGTCTTTCTTTGACACTTAGTGTTCAAATCTTCCTTCAGAATAGAAATGGAGAGAAACTCTCATTTTCTCCAATCCCCTGGAGCCAAAGCCAGATCTGTCAGTTGTTGTTACCTGCCATTGAGCCGGCCCCCAACAGTAGGCAACCCATTCACAGTAGAGCAAAATGCTGCCTAGTCCTGCACCATCTCCATGATTGGTTATGGATTGGACTGTTCTGATCCATAAGGTTTTCACTGGCTGATTTATGGAAGTAGATCGTTGGGCTTTTCTTCCTAGTCCATCTTAGCCTAGAAGCTGTGCTGGAACCTGTTCAGCATCATAGCAACACGCAAGCCTCCCTGACGGATGGGGGTGGTAGCTGCGCATGAGGTGCACTGGTCAGGAGTCGTACCCGGGACTCCCACTTGAAGGCGAGAGTTCTACCACTGAACCACTACTGCCCCCAGATCTATCAGTATTTGAAAGAAAATAGCAACAACAACTATCACTGACCTCAATTTTGAGACCTCTTCCCTCTAAACAAAAAAAACAAACCTGATGCTGTTGAGTCGATTCCAACTCATAGCGACCCTATAGGACAGAGTAGAACTGCCCCATAGGGTTTCTGAGGAGTGGCTGGTGGATTCGAACTGCCAGCGTTTTTCTTAGCAGCCATAGCTCTTAACCACTGCGCCACCAGGGCTCTTCCCTAGTCACGTTTATTTTATCTTTTTTTCAAATGGGCATTTTTTGTCCCCACTAGAGCATTTGATTTCCACACAAAGCAGTATACATTAAGAGAATGTCATTAAAATTCTTTGGAATAAAACTGCCCTGACTCTAAGAACATATTTCTAAAATACGTTTTAAGGAGATTGGGGGAACCTGTGGCTTTAATATCGATTTGTGTTTCGTATAGACTGTGAAGAAGAGCCCTTTTCAGACTGCGCTTAAGTTGTCTGACTCAGAATGGCCTTACTTACAGTGAAGTTCTTTTACACCTCTCTACTGGATATTCTTAAATTACGTGTTTGCAACCAAAATATTCAAGTTCACATGGTATCTACAGGGGTCATTTCCTCAGTAGAGTGTGACTTTTCAGTTTTGAGCCATTGATAGCTCCAGAAAGTCTCTGAAGCTCTTTAGGACCATCTGTCAGTCCAGCGCTGCTGATGGTGAGGATTACTGATTGCTGTCACCTCCTCCTGTATCCTGGTTTATCCCTTATCTCATTTTCGTGTCTGCCATTTGAGATATTATAAACTGAGTGCTAGTAGGAAACTTATAAGTCTCAGAGTTAGAATTTGTGTCTCACTGTTTCAAAGCTGATCTTCACTATGTTTATGAGTTCATGCTTTCTTAATGTCCTCTTATTCACAGGGTGAAGATACTGGAACGAAATGTAAAGTTCATCATATCGCCAAGGAGATCATGAGCTCGGAGAAAGTGTAGGTATCTAGTTTTTAATTCAGAAGATTTTTTTGCCTATTGGTTCATTTAAAACATTTCTTTCATTGCTGTTTTTTTACAGGTTTGTGGATGTGTTAAAACTTTTGCATATCGTAAGTATCTGCTGATATTTTCTTGAAGTCTAAGACTATTTCCTTTTGCATCTTTTCCTACCCCAGAAGGTTTTCAGCATAACTAATTTAAACGAATGCCATGCATATACATGTATGTGATTTCTAATTCATGTTTATGTTTTTCAATTTCACACACAAGTGTAAATATAGAAATTTTCTAAAATGTATGTATCTCATGTGTGTGTTAGATATACCTGAATGCTTTCTGAAAAATGGAGCCTTTATATCTGCATCTCCAAATTCTTCAAACTTTCTATCCTCATAATAAAGAGCCTTTAATGTGCTAATATTTCTTCTTGGCCAATTGCAGAAGATCTGCTATCAGTAGAATTTTGCCCTAGCAGTGTATAAAGACTGTCATGATTATTGTTCAGAACCATTCTTCTCCTCTGTGAATAAGCTCCGAGAAACTGACACTTAAAATAGACGTTTTTACAACTAACTTTTTAAAGTTCTGTTTTCCATTTTTATAGTTATCAACTTGAATGGACCTGTTGAGAAACAATTATGATATGTTTTAGTACATACTCATTTTGTACCTGCAAGTTTTCACAAGTTTCATTAAGCATTGGCGGTTAAAGTGTTTTTACTGTTACTTTATTCCAATTATGTTTTGGCAAGATATTAAGACTTAACAAAAGAAAGGGATAAAGTAGAGGAAACAATGAAGAAGGAAACTGAAGTGAAAATTCACTTCGATGGTGTAATTATTAACATCATCTTAAACTTAATTGCTGAGAAGTGGTAGATTCACAAAATATACATCTGTTTATGGCTCTGAAAAGGATATCATTATTTTCAGTTTTCCTCTTAATAGATATAGATGAACATGAATAGTGAGTTATACTTACAGGTGATTCAGATTCACCAGTGATTCCTTTGTGCTGTATATGTGGTCCAGTGGAAACATAGAGGCCTAATTCTTGTGTGAAAAATCTCTAGCTTTGGAAGCATTTTCTTAAAAAGTTGTTAACATTTCTAGTTCATTTGAGAAATTATTGCCCTATGAATAGTTCCTCATAATTCTTAACTATTGGTAAGTTCTTTTTTTAATGAATTAAAAAACTCTGACACTATAGCATTTGGTCCCCAGTATTTTAAATGACAGAATTTAGGTCATTTAAAGTAATTTCATGAAAGGTAGAACTTTAAAAGTATTTCATTTGTTGAGTTTCAAGTTGATCATTTAGGAATTTTTCAAAATAAACTCCATGTACCTTTGCTGCTGTGCCCTGAACATCACTATATTGCTACTTTGTAAATAATTGGAAAAAAGGAAGGAAAAATAAAGTGGAACTGCTGTTTTCTGAAAAACTCAGAACATATCTCTAGGACAAGCAAATTGTACCTATTTGCTATCTTTTCTGACAGACATGTTTAAATAGAAATAGAAACTTCCCAAGAAAATTGTAACCATCCGCAAATTAATTGCTAAATTCTTAGACGGAGAAAAAAATGGACTTTGGAATCAGGAAGACTTGCATTTAAACCTCAGTTTACTATTTCAGCAAATCCTGTATGGAACACATGTTGAGGATATAGCTATGAACAACAGAGTCCCTGCCCTCATGATGGTTATATTCTAGTTCAGTGCTTCTCAAGTTATTATGCTGAGGGACTGGGTATTTTTTTTTTTTTTCTTTTTCCCCTTTTAATCTATGGTGGACCAGTACTTTTGTAAAATACAGTAAAAATGTCATAGCCATGACAAATTGATATACACGTTTATGATCTTTATTCTCACTTTTTGACTAATCCCTTGCAGACCAATAACAAACAAAATATGTAGGTCAATACCAGTGTGTAGCTCCTACTTTGAGAAGCATTGGTTTAGTGGATTCTTTTTTCTTTTTTTTTTTTTTACCAGCTGTGTGATTTCAGAAAATAGTTTAACCTTTTAGATCTTGTTTTTCTCATTTGTAAAATGGGGATATTAATACCCATCTTTCAGGAATACAGTACATAAGAGAGCCTAGTACTGCACATGATAGATAGTAGGTTCACAAATTACCTTTCCGTTATCCTCTTCTTCCTCTTCCCTTACAAAGCATTAATGAGTGAGAAATACTCATTCTTCTGTTACAAGGCAGTATAGACCTTTTACAATTCTGTACTTTCAAATGCCTTTTTTTTTCTCTGTACTAAAATTTTATTTTAATGAAAGAAGTTCTGATTCTAGTAGGTAGGGAGACAGTTAAATGATTTACCACTTCATTTGTTATTTTAAAATCTATGTCCCATTCATACCTCTATATTTTGGGAACAAATCAGAAACACTATAATGAATGGACAATCAGACCAAAATATTTCCCATATCAACTCAGGTCTGGTGGATCTGATAGATTCTCTTGGCCTCTTCCCAACTGCTGTTGAACAGAGTGAACAATTCTCAAACCACCCTGACCTGTACATTTTTCAAAACCTTCAGCTTTAATGTAGGAGTGAGAGTAGATCATCTGCCAACCTCATGTTAACATTCTGTCTAGTGTATGCAAATGTTAACTCTGCAGAGCCCAGCTATAACAGGTGTCTTAACAAGAGTGTATCCATCAACCAGGTTCTGAGCCACTACAAGTAATGTTATTCATCCAGGGTAATGTGAGTGAAACCAAAGGATCTTCTTGTTTCTCTCCTCCACTCCTACCACCCTACTAAAACTCAAATTTACTCTTCTACCAAACATACCCCACAAAGGTAGCAGATGGATTGCTTTAATACTGAGCACTGCTGCTATCTGATTTCATCTAAATGAATGGACTTCAGTGTTATATGATAGAATATTACTGCTTTGAAATATATAAATTAACAGGATGTAGATAATCCAGTGCTAGCTTTTTTTTTTTTTTAAATCAACCAGGTGCCCAAGTGGCTTGAGAGAAGCTATTGTTTCAGTTACATGTGATTTCCCATGAATATTAGAGACCCTAGAGCAGCACTATCTAATAGAACTTTCTGTGATGTTGGAAATGTTTAATATCTGCACTATCTGATATGTTAGTCTTATTTTTAAAATTTAAATATGTTACTGTAGCTCACTAACACTTCTTTGTTTAGAATTCAGTAAATAACTGGGTGAAATATCTCATAGGAAATGTCTTCAATTTAACTTAACTAATGAATTTTTATGATTTAAGCAGTTATTACATTGGGAGGAATTAGACTTGGATGGAGGGCAGCACAGTTCAAAATATTCACAGGATTCTAAGAACCAGCCTTGTTGGTTGAGGATCTTGATTTATCTACCTGATGGTGGTAGGAAAATGTTGAGCCTATAGAGGCAATGACAAGTCTTTACAATTAATGTTTTATGTGGCACATGCTTTGCATTATCTGCCATGAGCACCTGGATTTTGAAGTGGATTTTTAAAAAATGCAAAATTGACTCTAAATTAACACCCTATTGAGTCCAAAGAGAAAGGAGATTCCTAAAAGTCAGTCTTTCCCTTTTAGTAAATGGTAGTACCATCCACGTATCTGCCATAGTCACAAAATTAGAACTCGTTCTTCATTTCTCCCTCTCATTCACCTCTTCATCAGCAAACCTGCTGATCCTACTCCCTCTTTACTGCCACCAGCATAGTTCAGAATATCATCCTCTCTTACTCCAAATACTGCACCAGTTTCTTATTTCCATTTTTGCCTCCCGTCCAGTCTATTTCTTATAAAGTTTTAAACATGATTTTCTTAAAATATATATTAGATCATGCCACTCCTCTGCTTATAACCCTTTAATGATTCCCACTGCATTAAGAGTAGAATTCAAGCTACTTACCAAGGCCTATAAGTAGGTTGACCATATGTCCCAGTCTGCCTTTGACAGTCCTGGTTATTGTCTTGGCATGATATTATTAATAGACCTCTTTTCCACTCTCAAAATGATCCGATTTGGACAGTAAGTTATGGTCCCCTGCCTATGAGGTGCTATGTGATTTGGCCTCTGGTAGTAAGATGATACATGGCGGGGGGGGGGCTGCGTTTCCCTTCTTTTTGACACTGTTCTGGCCATACTGGCTTCTTTTCAGCTTTTAGTTCAGTGCCAAGTTTATGCCTGTCCACAGCTTTTGCCAATGTGATTTCCTGGAATGTCCATTCTTAGTTTATTTTCCTCATAGCTAGTCCTTGCCTTTCTTTCTGATTAGGATAACTTAGTGATTCTGTTCTCTTTAACTTCCTCATTTTTGTTTCCTTTTTGGCACTTAATGTATTTTATATATTTGACTCTTTACTTCTTTATTTTTTTGTCTCCTCTACTGAAAACATAAGCTTGGTGAGGGCTGGGATCATATATCTCAGGAGCCTACCATGGTGCCTGTTGAATGGTAGTCACTCAGTGAATATTTGTTGAATAAATGAGTATAACTAGTTAGTTAATGGTTAAGAATTCTGCCTCTGCTGTTAACTGTGTGCTCTTGGACAAATTAGTCAAGCCTTGGTTTCTTCTTCTGGAAAACAGGAGTAATAATTATAATGCTAATAATAATCAAATAAAGTTGGTAGGATGGTTAAATGAGATTATGCAAGGTAAATGGTAAGTACTTAATTAGTTTTCACTGCAGGCTAAGAGGAGTGGGCCTTGCATATAAAGTGCTGTATTTATAACTTATTTATATAAATATTAAAATTCATATTATTTTGTTTTGACATTACCAAGTAAGCTTTTAATCAAATCAATCAAAATAGAGTTTGTTCCTTAAATACACCCTACTATATCTCCTCTTCTGCTAGAAAGTAAGCTCCTTGAAGGCAAGGATTCCTATCTGTTTTGCTTATTTTGTATTTCAATCAATTAATGTCTGTTGAATACATGATAAAAAAACCTGATCAATGGGTTTGGCAAAACTCTAGTTATTTAGATTTGTTTTCCCTCTTTGTGGCAGAAGTTGTCTAACCCAGAGATTGCTATTATATTGTATGTAAATGCACATTTTAAAGAGGAGACCCCTTAGACATCTCTAATATAATTAAGTACAAATGATATA